TGTATTATACGGACCCCCACACACACACACACACACACACTGACTGCATAAGTGCATCACGCTTTGTCCCTTCAGTTCACAGGAGAGATCAATCTTAAACGTTTATCACTCTTTACTCCCGTCCCTCCCTCCCCTCAACCATCCATCCATCCCTCCATCTCCTCCCTACACCTCCATCAACAGATGTGTCCATTCATCATATTTTGTCAGGTTTCTTTCCTGTCTCTCTCTGTCTTTTTCAGTTCTGTCTGTCTCTCTATATGTCTCACATCTGTGGCCCTCAGCACTGATCTACTACATGCATGTTAAACCTACTGTTTCCTTTGCCATTATGTATCCTATCGCAGGCACTTCTAGCTTAGCAAGCTGCATTTCGTGTGTCATTGTCAATCGAAACACAATCTATAGTCTATGTAAGCATGTGTATGCAGACTCTTTTAGCTACATATCGGTTTTATGTGTTGTTGTTGTGTTACGAAATGTCTGACTGCAGTCATTAGCTTAAACTGTTGAATGCCAGTTTTCTCTCTCAGCTCATTTACTGCAGTTTGAAGAGCAACACAGTAAAATCCATTTAGAACACCTTAAATACCACTAAAGTGCACACTACCAAGAACACCTTAGTAACCACAGAGCAACATGATGAAAACACTCAGAACACCTCGGCAACTGCATAGTAATGCCTTGGAAACCACATAGAAAAAAGCCCTGGTGACTTCCCAACGCCCAACTACTACCCTACTGCAGCCTACCTAGAACACCCTAGTAACTGCATAGCAACACCCTAGTGACTACCCACAACACCTTAGCAACTTCATAGCAACATGCTACACACTACACAGAACACCAAGTAGCAGTGGTCTAGCAACCACCCAGAATACCCTATCAACCGCATACTGTAACAAACACCAAGCAATGTGCTAAAAACCACTTAAAATACCACACAGCAACACCCTACCAACCACATTCTCTAGCGACTTAGAATCGTTAGAACCATACCTTAGAATACCTTAAAAACCTCATAGCAATACCCTAGCAACCACATACTGTACTAACCACCAAGCAACATGATGAAAACCACTTGAAATACCTTAGAAACCGCCTAGCAATGCCCTAGCAACCACATACTGTAGCTACCACCAAGCAACATGCTGAAAACCACTTACAATACATTAGAAACTGCATAGCAACTCCCTAGCAACCACATACTGTAGCAACCACTAAGCAATGTGCTGAAAACCACTTAAAATACTACATAGCAACTCCTTAGCAACAACGTACTGTAGCATCCACCAAGCAACATGGTAAAGACCACTTAGAATACCTTAGAAACCGTATAGCAATGCCCTAGCAACAACACACTGTATCAACCGCGCTGAAGACCACTTAGAATACACTAGAGACCGCATAGCAACTCTCTAGCTGTAGCTACCACCAAGCAACATGCTGAAAGCCACTTGGAATACATTAGAAACCACATAGCAACTCCCTAGCAACCACATATTGTAGCAACCACCAAGCTGCATGTTGAAATCCACTCAGAACACCTTTGCATCTGCATAGCAACGCCCTGGTTACAGATAGATATAATACAAATCTACATTAGTTGTGTTTTGCATCTTGATCTTGCATTTGTAAGTGTTCGATATTGATACAGTATGTTTTTGGGCTTAGTGTATCTCATATTTGAGATCTAAAAATCTAATCTCTGTCCCTCTTTCCCCCTCCAATTGTCTTTTTCTCCCTTTCTGATTTTGTTCTCCAGTCACATTTGTTCCCATCGTGAAAAATATCGATCCATCTTTAGGACTTCAGAGGCTTCATAAACTCTTAGCGTTCTCGTCAGAGTAAATGTCAGACTGTTCCCCCTATGCTTGGATATTAACATTGTGTTTGTGTTTCACAGGCTCCGTCTCTTTGAGCGTGCTGCTGGTGTCGTTGGCGGTAACCGTGTGTGGTGTTTGGCTGGTAGCTCTCTGCGGCGTCTGTGGATGGTGTCAACGCAAGCTGGTGAGTTACGCACACACATTTAAGACATTCATGTACATGCATTTGTTTGTACAATGGGGCAGAACGTTTATAATGCGTTGAACAAACGTTGCATGTGCATAACAATGCTCTAACGACTACCCACAACATCTTAGCAACTCCCTAGCAACTTGCTAAACACTACAGAGAACGCCTAGCAATGGTCTAGCAACCACCCAGAATACCCTATCAACCGCATACTGAACAAACACCAAGCAATGTGCTGAAAACCACTTACAATACCACACAGCAACACCCTAACAACCACATACTCTAGTGACAACCAAGCAACATGCTGAAGACCACTTAGAACAGTGGTTCTCAAACTGGGGTACGTGAGATGACGGAGGGGGTACGCGAACAAAATTCTGAGTTTTGGCATTCATTTAATTCTTCCCCAACTTAAAGTAACATTAAAACCGAACATGTATTTCTGACAAGCAAAATGCCACTTCTAATGTAAAAACAGGTAAAAGGGAGTGCCTTCAACGGTCAAATACATGATATCCAATCAGCTTACCTCATCTTTTGTGGTCAAAACCGACTGCATATGCTGCTTTAGCAAATCGCGCTGCTGTTCAATGTATCTTTAAAGTAGATCTTCACTTAATAGCATGAAGAGCAAATATTGAATACCTTAAAAACCACATAGCAACTCCCTAGCAACCACATACTGTAGCAACCACCAAGCAACATGCTTAACACCACTCAGAATGCCTTATAAACTGCATAGCAACACCCTAGCAACAACATACTGTAGCAACCACCAAGCAATGTGCTGAAAACCACTTAGAATACCTTAGAAACAGCATAGCAATGCCATAGCAAACACATACAGTAGCAACCAGCAAGCAACATGGTAAAGACCACTTAGAATACCTTAGAAACCGTATAGCAACTCCCTAGCAACCACATACTGTAGCAACCACCGAGCAACATGCTGAAAAAAAATTGGAATACCTTAGAAACGGCATAGCAATGCCCTAGCAACCACATGCAGTACCAACCAGCAAGCAACATGCTGAAAACCACTTGCAGTACCTTGGCAACCACATAGCAACACTGTGGCAACAATCCAGAGCATCCTAGCAGCTGCAAAGCACTACAAAGAACTCAGAACACTTAACTACCGCCTACATACACCCTAATAACTGTATAGCAACCACCGATCAACATGTTGGAAACCTTTTGGAAACCGCATAGCAACACCATTTGCAACCACACAGAACATCCTAGCAACATTTTCCTCATTAAATGTAGTTTACTTAGTTTTGTAAGTGTTTGATATCACACACGTTCAGCGTGTTTCCGGTGACGCCATGTGAGGACTCAAAAGGGTTTTCTCCAGTTTAAGGCTGAAAACAGTGACCTGTAATTTCAGCCTCACGACCGCTGATCAGATTTTAAATGGCAGCGCTGATTGGAACAACCTTGAGTGACCTGAAAGGTGTTTCAAAGTGAAAGAGCCATTTCCCATTTACGCCACCAGAAGCCAAATACTTAATTGAACATGCCGGCAGATCTCACACGTACAAGCAATCGTAATTCAGCCAGATATCCTCAGCCACAACTGTACGTGATCTTTGACTTTATTCCACCCAGAAGAGTGACCACAGGCAATCACAGCGGGTGTCACGAGGTCATTGAGCTCATACATGCCCTCTCAACCTGTGCGTGCATGTGCGTGTTTTGGTTAGTGAGGATGTGCACATGCATACTAACAAGCATACTAACAAGTGTGTGTGTGCATGCCTGAGGGAGTGAATTTCTGTGTTTACTTGGCTATACTTTGGAGACCTTCTTTCATGGATGCCCTCAAATTTAAAAATGATTCATATGATTGAAGCAAGTAATGTTTATTTATTTGTTTGAATACTACAGTATATGCGGCAATTTTTGGCTATGCTTAATCTGTAAGCCATTACACATTGTCTGTACTGAGGCTATAATATAAGCAAACTTCTTAAAGGGATAGTTCACCGAAAAATGAAAATTTGCCGTTAATTTACTCACCCTCAGGCCATCCAAGATGTAGATGACATTTTATCTTCAGTAGAACAGTAAAGGAGATTTTTAGCTGAAACTGTTGTCCTTGGTAATTCATAAAATGCAAGTCAGCAGCTGCCCGTACAGGTAGTTGAGAATAAAAAAATTATATCAAGAAACACAAAATGAATACCCGTGGCTCCTGACGATATATTGAGATCTTATGAAAGAAAACAATTGGTCTGTGCAAGAAACTGGGCTCGAAATGAGCCAAAATACTAGCGTATATGATCCAATGATGAATTAACTCATTCAGGTGTTCCAGTTCCAGTCCAGTTCAACACCAATTTTTCATTTTTGGGTGCACTATCCATTTAAAGGTGGTTATAGATGGTTTAAGATGGTCTCCCAGCCTGGTCATGCCAATATTAAGTTGGTCTAGCTTTGAAAATCTCTTTAAAAGCAGCCAGCAGACTGGACTGATCATGTGAAAATTGCTGTGTGTGTAAGACCAGCAAACCATCTGAGTCTGATTTACAGTGTTTTGTTATTATGACAATGGCTAAGTGAATGCATGTTTGTGTGTGTTTTGCAGAGGTGTAAAGAGTACCTAAAAACCATACTTGAGTAAAAGTACAGATACCTTACAGTGAAAATTACTCCACTACACGTTACAAGTCACCAATTCCAAAACAACTTGAGTAAAAAAGATACTTAAGTACAGTAACTAATTACATTTACTCCAATACTTTACACCTCTGGTGTTTTGGTGCTCAGAACGCTTTGTGACCTTGTGTTCGTCAACTTCAACAGGAAATGACCTGCACTTCAGCAGGAAGCTGCACCTGTCGCTGCCTCATTAAGCTCAGACGGGTCACCTCTGCCAGTAACATTAAGCTAAATTGAGCGCTTAGTTGGATGTGTGTTAAAGGAAGACTAACAGTATGTTTGCTGAGAGTGTGTGTGCTGATTGAAAGTGTCAAAATCTATGTTATTTTAGTGGTAGGTACTGTATATACTATAATAGTTTTTAATATTTCGAGCTTTTTATATTTTCAGTTTTCATTTTACTTCAATTTTTTGTCATATTATTACTATTTAGGTTTAATTTATTTTTATTTTGGTTTTAGTTTTAGTTAAATTTGGTGTAAATATTAGTGCTTCAACCTAAACATTTTAAGGCAACATTTAAATTTTTTGTTTAGTTTAAATTCTTTATTTAATATTTATATTTTATTTAATTTCTGCTTTATTTCAATTAACTTGGTTGCTAGGGTGTTTTGAGTTATGAGCATGTTGCTATGTGAGGGTTTTGCTATGCAGTTGCCAAGGTGTTTTGGGTTGTTAGCGTATTGCTATGCAGTTGCTAGGGTTTTTTGAGTTGAATTATGTGAGGGTGTTGCTATGCAGTTGCTAAGGTGTTTTGGGTTGTTAGCGTATTGCTATGCAGTTGCTAGGGTGTTTTGAGTTGAGTTATGTGAGGGTGTTGCTATGTAGTTGCCAAGGTTTTTTGGGTTGTTAATGTGTTGCTGTGCACTTGCTAGGGTGTTGAGTTAAGTTATGTGAGGGTGTTGCTATGCGGTTGCCAAGTTGCTAGGTTGTTTTGAGTTGAGTTGTGTGAGGGTTTTGCTATGCAGTTGCCAAGGTGTTTTGGGTTGTTAGCGTGTTGCTATGCAGGTTGCTAGGGTGTTTTGAGTTGAGTTATGTGAGGGTGTTGCTATGTAGTTGCCAAGGTTTTTTGGGTTGTTAATGTGTTGCTGTGCACTTGCTAGGGTGTTGAGTTAAGTTATGTGAGGGTGTTGCTATGCGGTTGCCAAGTTGCTAGGTTGTTTTGAGTTGAGTTGTGTGAGGGTTTTGCTATGCAGTTGCCAAGGTGTTTTGGGTTGTTAGCGTGTTGCTATGCAGTTGCTAGTTTTTTTCCCCGAGAGTTATGTGAGGGTATTGCTATGCAGTTGCCCAGGTGTTTTGGGTTGTTAGCGTATTGCTATGCAGTTGCTAGGGTGTTTTGAGTTGAGTTATGTGAGGGTGTTGCTATGCAGTCGCCAATGTGTTTTGGGCTGTTAATGTGTTGCTATGCGGTTTCTGGGTTGTTTTGAGTTATGTGAGGGTGTTGCTATGCAGTTGCTAAGGTGTTTTGAGTTATATGAGGGTTTTCCTATACAGTCACAAAGGTGTTTAGAGTTGCTGATAGCGTGTTGCATGCTGTCAAACATAAATAACATGCTGAAGTTTAATATTTACTGTTAGGAGTTTCGATAACACTTTATTTTGATAGTCCACTTTAGACATTCTGCTAACAGTAAGTAACGTTACAACTACATGTCAACTAGCAGTCATTAGAGTATTAGTAAACTGTCTGCTTAATATCTTTTAACACTTTATTTTGATGGGTCTACAACATACTGACTATAGCCCTATTCGGACGGTAATTGTTTCTCATGGGGACGTAAGTGATTTTCACCATTTACAGGGGGTAGTCGGGGATTGAATTGCTGTCCGAATCCAGAGTGTCGGTTTTTATCTCTCACCACCCTTGTAAAAATCCCCGGCCGAATTACCTACTGTTTTTTGACAAACACCAAGGTCGTGTTGTAATTTAATTGCCGTCCGAATCCACATTAAGGGTGTACTGTCCCTTTAAGATCGTCTCCGTGTTCCCAACCTCTGAGTTTTCCAGTGAAGAGAATAAGAAACCTGAAGGATTGGGTTAATCTGTACTGTGGGTCCGCTGGGTGGATGGAGTAGCCAGTCTGTGTAGAGGGATCGGGTTGCGTCTTCTCCTCCATACAGGAAGACAGGCAGACTTTCAGACTGACAAGTGTAATGAGAGTGAGACACAGATACATCATACTCTCTTCATTCAAGGACAAACAGGACAACAGAGGTTTTCAGGGCTTTTTTGCGCTCTATATTTTCATATTCTGCTGTCTGTAGTTCTTCTATCTGTTTTGGGCGTGTCTGACACTTCATTTTACACCTGCGTGAGATTCCCAGAG